AAAGACAATAAAAAAAAAAAAAAAGATAAAACACATTAGCCCTCCCTCTGCAGCAACTCCGAACCAGACTAGCAGCCACCGAATCAACCCAGGGGGATCCCACGACATGAGAAAATCGACCCCTCCACACTGCCAAACCGCCTAGCCGAGTCGAAACGCAAGCCACGGAACCTACCCAGGCCAATTCTTCCCAACGCCAAAGAACACCAAGAGAGCTCCCAACACCGTCCGACCGAGCCCATTTACCATTTATATATATTATATATATTTAATATTTGTATCTATATCTATATAAAGAGAGAACCTATTTAACTAAAAATACAAAAAAGTCAACCAACATTTGTTGTATTATATTTTTGGTAGTTTTTAATTTTCTTTTTAAATTATTCTATAAAAATCGATCTACTATATATGTATCGTAAATTTATGGGTTTTGTGGATTTAATTTAGGTCATTTTTTACTGATGCTTACAATGTTGCAAAAATTAAAATTCTTTCTCATTTTTTATTAAAAAAACTGATTATCATAAATCGGGAATTTCGAATTAGGCAAATTACTATCACATGTATCTTTTTCTAATTGCAACACATCAATTGTTTATAAAAAAAAAATCTGGTTGCATAGAAATCTGGTTAATTGAGGTCAAATTCGGCATGACAATTTTGTAAAAGTCAGAATTTTCTCATTTTTATTAAAAAAAGTGTTTTACCATAAAATCGAGAATTACGAATTACGCAAAATACTATAACATGTATATTTACGTAATTGCAACAGATCATGTTTATTAAATAATAAAAAAAATCGGATTGCATAGAAATCAGGCTCAATTTCAAATTTAAAATTAAAATGTTAAAATTCCTTATCATTTGGCTACAACTTTCTTTAGTCGAATTTTTTTAAACATAAAACAGAGTCAAATGTTATTAATTTGAAATTCAAAATGAAATCGGACTGGAACATCCTAAAAACTTGGGTTTTGTTTAATCTTATATAATACAAATTTAAAAGTGATTGCATACACTTACACAATTTTTTCATTCCTTAAATTAAGTAATTTACAATTTTAAAATAATAAGGCTATAGATTATCAAGAAACAGATTTTACAATATCTGTTATATTCGGCTATGCAATGCATTAGATGATGTACCAAAAGACCAAACAAATAATGTTGTGTACAAGGATGTATTTAATAATGTATAAGTTACATTTTGTTTTATTCCAATACATGCGTTTTACGTTCGTCTAATCATCCATTCATCCACTTACCTCAATAAAACTATCCCATGCATCGCACGGGTTCCACACTAGCATGTGTAAAGTAGTGTAAAGTGCATTTATGGAACTCGTTAGACCCGACCAGAACTCATTAGGCACTACTGAAACCCCTCTTTCCTCTCTGTCTCGCTGTTTATGCATCTTTCTCTCGCCATTTTCATTCAGATTTAGTCGCCTTCATCTCGGCTTCTAACCTTGTTGACAGTAGTTCCCAAGCCGCCCGGCCCTTCCCAGATGCCTTGAATATGCTCATATGGTGTTTGGGACGGACAAATCCAATGCCCTTCTCCGGATAGGGTTTGCGATTGCAGGCCCATTCAGTGCTGTGGGTTGCGGTGCTATGGGTTCGGGTCGGGTGCGGCTTCTGCGGCAAGCTTTCTCGGGTCAGAGTGTCTTGGGCTCTCAGCGGGCCTGCCTTTGAATTCGTCTTCGCTGGCTTGGATGGATGGACGTCGTGGTTCATTTTTCTGGTCGCCACAATGTGCTGGGGTCCGTCGGTCTGCTATGTTCTTTTTCACCGACGGAATGGTGATTGGAGGAGGCGAGCTCTTAGTTGACGACTGGGCGAAATTTGGTTTGCCGGTCTCGATTGAGGGCGAGTTTCCTCTTATTGCCGCTCCTGTCTCAGTTTTCTTTTGCCTGCGACTGGCGGTGCTCCGTGCTTTCACTGTTCTCTCCGACGTGTTGGCGGCGCTCTGTGGCGGCGGCTATATGTGGGGTGTTAGGGTTTTGTGTCTGCGGTTCGGAGGATGTGTTCTTGTGTGGCTTAGGCGTCTTAGGGCCTTTGGGATGGCGGGGCTGCGGCTGCAGCGTTGAGACTGCTATTTTTCCCAGTTTTCTGGGATTGGGTTCCGGGGTACACATTGTTACTACAGAGTCCGCTAGTGGTGTTAGGGGCTCGGTATGGCAGTTTTGGTTTCTTGGTGTTTTCTAGCGTTGGGGAGAATTGGCTTTGGGTGGGATTCGTGGATTGAGTTTCGATTCAGCTAGGCGATTTGGTAGTGGAGGGTCATTTTTCTCCGACTGTGGATCCCCCTGGGTTGATTTGGTGAATGCTACTTTGGTTTGGAGTAGTTGCAGAGGGAGGGCTAGAGTTCTTTGGTTTTATTGTTTTGTTTTCTTTTATGTTTTGTTTTTTGTGATAAGGTTGTGTTTTAGGTTTGGCCTTTTTGCCGAGTGTTTATGTCCTGTATTTTTGGTTTGGGTCGTTGGCCTCAGTATGAGCGGGAGCAACTTATTATCCTGTGGGGATCAGCTCCGGTCTCTATTCTCCTGTGGGGAGCTTTTTGTTTTGTGGTTTATGGTGTTGTTGTCTCGTGAGTCTTATTTTCGGTTTCTAGCGTTGCTAGTGTCGGGTTTCTAGTCGGTCGTCAAACATGTCCTCCCATTTTACTCATCTTGGGGTCGGTTTATTCAACCTGGGGTTGTATCTTTGCACGTTTGTGCCTTTTGTTTTATAATATCTTTATCGTTTCGTCAAAAAAAAAAAAAGAAAAACCTTTAAAAAGATAAAAACTAAAATGAAAACTTGTGTCGTGCAGTGGAAAAGCACATAACACCAAACCAATCAATCCCCTCCTGATCATTTGTTCACCTTCCCCATTTTCTCCCATTTCCCAAATTCTAACATAAAGTTAATTATTTGGGCTATGTATAGATAAATCCTCAATCCTAAATTCATTTTCTCATTCAGTCCCTAGTGAAATTTTTTTTCCATTCAACTCCCTAGTCAACAAATTAATGGTCCCCTCTAAGGTTTAAATTACATTTCTGTCCCGATAGCTATTTTCTAAAAGAAAAGTACCAGTTTTCATTCAGTATAGTACTTGTTGCTTTAAAAATAGTATCTTGTGTTATAAATTTGGAGTACCAGATGTCTTTCTATCTTGTACATGACTTTACCCAGAGTACCACATCCCATAAAATGGTATCAGAGCTAAGGTTTTATTATGAACTCTTAGATGAATTTATTATATGGTAATTAACTTTAGAAAGGAGAATTTTTTTTAAGAATGGATAGTGAAAATTGTCCAAAGTGTGTGCATTATCATAGATATCTTCAAATTTGAAGATGTTGGAACAAGAACACCAACAAATGGTTGCCCATTGGGATGACTGTTATGTTGAGCAGGTTATGGCAGGAGTAGATAGAGTTACTACTAGACTCTGTCAAAACTAGAAGAAGTATCATATGGATACCCTCTAGGTAAACCAATTGATACAAACGGATTTATTAAATCATCAAAAAAGAGATCATATGAATCATATTGAAGGATGAGTCATAATAATTTATTGGGCTGGAAAGAAGTTATTCCATATTCTTCTAAGTACTCTACAAATATCCGTGAAGTACAAAGAACCTTGCAAAGTTATGGATAACTCCAAGTGATGGTTACTGAAAAAATCCACCAAATACAAACAAAGGTGGAAGAAATAATGAGGAACCAAAAGGAGACTCTGGATATTCTTATAAGTATCCAGAAACAAATTAAAACCTTGGAAGATAAATCTAGTACTTCCGGAGGACGAAGAAAAGTAACTTTCGGAACAGTGCCTCTTTTGCACCAAAAGGGTAAACCAACTGAAGTTCGAAGACCAATGACGGAGGACGAAAAGACGAGGGCCATCTTAAAAGGAAAATCCATTAATAAATAATGGAAAGAGTTAATTTAGAAGACCTACATGAGCTTGCAGAATCCTTTGCGGGATTGGGTCTGGTAGACTTAAAAATGAATACTGGAGATGGTTCAACGATTATAACTAGAACTCAACCTTCCCAAGGAGGAGAAAGTTCAAGTTTTCACCAACCTGAGGAGCAGATACCCTATCAAGGGGATTTTAATACCAGGGGAGAAACCGGGCATCCGGCGGGTACCCGAATGCACTCTCGAGGACAAACTTTCAAAATACTCTTTATGGGAAATAACAACTAGATCCGACTCACCCTTATGGGTTAATGTTGAATCTAGATACTTTAGATTTCAAAAATCGAGAGATCCTCATCGATGATTGGGCCTCTGCTATGAGAATTGCCGGAGAAACATTGGATCTCAATAAAGAAGGGTTCATTTCACTTCTCGAAATGAGCCTGGAAGGTTCAGTTAAAATTGCTTGG